ATTGTTGAAATGTATATCTCTCTGTTGTTGTATTGGTAGCAAATCGTTGTTTCCGCTTTCTCCGATCTCTCATTCTTATGATCGTTCACTGTATTCTTTCCTCTTTTCTTCTTCTACTTTTTTCTTTTTTCTTTTTCTTTCTTTCGCATGAACTTTTCTCTCTCTTTGAATTTGCCTTGTGCATGTGGCCCGCGTGCCTCTTTCTCATTCTAACCCCCCCTTCCTCTCGACATCTCTCTTCGCTCGTTCAAACGCGCGTACTCTACTTTATTAGCTAATAATACTCGAATTAGTTCCACGCTGGAATTCAATTCCTTCAGTGGCGTCAGAAATTTTTCACCTTTCTGTTCGTCTGTCCGCGTCTTTTTTTCTAAAAAAAAAAAAAGTTTTCGTGGTAGTATTTTTTCAAAGAAAGAAAGAAAAAAAAGAAAAGAAAAGAAAAAGAAAAAAAAAAGAAAGAGAGAGAGAGAAATTCGATGAAAGCGATCGAATATCGAGGCAAGCAAGACGTCAATCGCGAGATCGCATCTCTCACATTTCATTTCATCCGAGAAACGAGAGTTTTCGGAAAAAAAAAAAAAAAAAAGGTAATAGTAGCTTGTTCGGTCTCGAGAGATTTAGAGATTGAGACGCCTTGCATTCTTGTGTCTAAACAAAGTTATGTGTGTGTATGTATATATACATACATACATACATACATACATACATACATACAAGAAAGGAATCACTGTGCTCGAGGAGCTTGAGAGAGAGAAAGAGAGAACATTTAGAACGGGAAGTGTACTTACAAGCGGATAAACGTTCACGGAGAGAAAGAGAGAGAGAGAGAGAGAGAGAAAAAGAGAGAAAGAGAGAGAGAAAGAGAGAGAGAAAGAGAGAAGAAGAGGGGGGGAGGGAGAGAGAGGAGACGTAGAGAATAGCGTAACACTCCTTCGTTTTATATATATATATATATATACGATTATATAGTTTCGATTATATAGTTGCTCTAGAAACGTAGATATGTACGACAGAGCGAGAAAGAGAGAGCGAAAGGGATGATCGAGAGGAAGGGGGAGAAAGGAAGAATGTTTGGACGAGTGGAGAGGAGAGAGTGTAAGGAAGAGTGAGAGAAAGAAGAGTCTCTGGGAAAAAATGAACGAATTGTGAGAGAGAGAGAGAGAGAGAGCGAAAGAGAAAAAGAGAGAGAGAAAGGGGCAAGCGGGAAGACAAAACATAGAATGGACGAAGAATCTAAATTGAAACATATCCGAAATACGAATTGTTCCAGGACCTAAAGAAGCGCGGTTCCCACACCTGTGACATGCAGGCCCTACAGCCACTTCCGGTCCCAACCACCACAACCACCAACACCGCGCCTGCCATGACTACTTCCGGTGGCCA